CGATTCATGAACGTTTCCATGGGCGCATGAAATTAGCCCCGGGGGCGACGTGGGCCGTGGCATAACATGGCATGAGGGGGGCCCTAATAGGTTCAGATCTCAAAACATACGAGTTATTGCTCTAACATTTTGCAAGATATCAGGAAAACGCAGAGAAACGAATATCATCTTGATTGTCGGAAGAGTGCCCTCGACGAAAGGGGCGAGTGCAAGGGGGGGGGCTCCTGCCCCTGGCCCGATTGATTCGACGGAATCATAGGGGGGGCCTTCGGACAATATGAAGAAAGACGTTGCGTGCAAACGTCTCCGGATGGATGGCGTTCGTCCGCGCAAGCAGCAAGGGTGCCCGTTGAGTCGCGAGCAGCCCGAGGCAGCCCCTGCGCCGTCGCCGGCTCAGCCAGCTGAGGTGCCAAAGTCAGAAAAGGGGAACAAACGCCAGGGCACTAGGGACAGACCGTCTACTCCAGGGCCCAAAGGCACGGGAAGCTCATATAAAAGGTCCCACTGAAGAGCAGCAGAAGAAGATGGTTTGTTGCGCCTTATCGAGAGGCGCGCGCCGTGGTGAGCATAGTGATCCTCCTCGTTGCCGCCATCGTAGGAAACTGGCTCCCGAGGAAATGCTGCGACGGGATAGCTGGGGACAAGCCGTGCAGGCAGCCGGGAAGTCGATGTGTGAGCGCACGCAAAAACAGGCTGCGTCTGCAGCGGCTCATGAGGCCAAGGCATTTTCCGCGGCTGGGTCCGATGCTGACAGTGAGAAGGGCAGCTGGAAAAAACACCCGCAGCACGGGGAGTGGCAAAGGCACGGGGAAAGCACTTTGCTGGAACTGGACGGAGAAGGTTGAGTGCTCTTTCGGTACCTGGTGCCTGTTCCGTGCCAACACTTCTAGGCACCCGTGACAGTGGCTACCGGTGTCTCGTGGTTCAGCCGCTCGCTCTCTGGGGCATGCTGATTACCCGTGTTTCAACGTGATGCTTATGGCCGGGATAATGTTCCGATGCGTGCTTTCTGCCTCCGCGTGCGCGCGCCGTTCTGGACGGCGGCGTCGCGGCAATGTGCCATGGGCGGAGAGGACATCACGCAGTCATGATGCTTGTCCCGCGCCGTTGAAATTCGGTGCGTTTTCCGAAGTGCCGATTTCTGCTGAGAAGGATCGATCTTTCCATTGGCGTTGCCCGTTTAGCACTCGCACCGTAATGCGGGGGGCATAACAGAGACACGGTATATTCAGCAGTTGTCACAGTCTCAGATATGGCAGGTCGGGCTTTTTCCTCCCCAGGCTTAATGCCCCTTTCCCAAGGGCTGCCGGCGAGACGCTGTGCGGCGCGAGCCCAGGGCCGAGCTGCGTGAAAACGGTATTTCCGCGCCGCGCTGCCTGGCCGTTCGTTCTCGCCGTCTCAGTGGAAGTCCTACCGCGATTGTTAGAAGACCACGAGAAGGGGAAGCACCCCCATCATCTAGTAAGGACAGATGGTTATTTTTTTTCCAAGGGAAGCGCAATCATCACGCTACGTCGCATCCTCGCAGCAACAGGGCCCCCCTGAGCTTCCAATGGTGCAATCTTTGCTTGATGTGGTTGGTTCGCTGCACCTGTTGCCGATGTGCCGACGTCTCACCGTGAATATATATATATATTATATATATATATATATATATATATATATATATATATATGTTCTTACTTCTCCTTTGGTTATCATCTTCGAAGCAACGCAAAGCAAAACAAGTGGGCGGGCGGGCGGGCGGACGTGCGGGCGGGCGGGGCGGCGGGCGCGCTGGCGGGCCAGCGGGCGGGCGGGCGTGCAGGCTTGCGGGAGGCGGCGGCGGCGGCGGCGTCATCATGATCTTCATCATTTCCATCATCATCACCATCATCATCGCCATCGTCGTCGTCGTTGTCGTCGCTCGTCGTCTTCGTCGTCGTCGCCCGTCGCCCGTCGTCGTCGTCGTCTTCGTCGCCCGTCGCCGTCGTCGGTGTCGTCGTCGATGTCGTCGTCGTCGTCATCGTCGTCGTCGTCGTCGTCGTCGCTCGTGTCGTCGTCATCGTTGCCCGTCGTCATCGTCGTCGTCGTCGTTGGCCGTCGTCGTCGTCGTCGTCGTCGTCGTCGTCGTCGTCGTCGTTGTCGTCGTCGTCGTCGTCGTCGTCCGTGTTGGAGCCACGTGCCGGTTATATTGTAGCTGTCGCCTCCGCGGCGTTTTGTCCCCGTTGCGAACGGAATGGCCTTTTATGTGTTCCCGCCCCGCGGCATTGCCACGTGGCGAGTATAATGGAATAGTTGTTCCCTCCCCGAGGCGCTGACACGCGGCGAGTACAGCGGGATAGTGTATTTTTTTTGCCCGCGCGGCATTGCCACGTGATGACTAGAGCGGATATGTTTTTTTGTTCGCTCCCCATGTAGTGGCCACGTGGCGACTGGAATATGGTCGTATTTTTACCTAACATCGAAGACTGATAGGTTTCTAGTAGGTTAAAAAGAGGTCACAGATCACTCCACAGGGGGGTCCGGGCAGGTGTTGGGAGTTGCCGGGCGGGTTGTGCCCACCTCGTTTTTCACCAACAGTCACACACTTCGTGCTCTTCGACTTCCCAGAACTCCATTCCCAGGCTCATTCTGAATAACCGGATGCAACAGTCACACACTTCGTGCTCTTCGAGATCCCAGAACGCCATTCCCGGGCCACATTCTGGAGGGCCGGATGCAACAGTCACACACTTCGTGCTCTTCGAGTTCCCAGAACTCCATTCCCGGGCCACATTCTGGATGCCCGGAGCCAACAGTACCACTTCGTGCTCTTCGAGTTCCCAGAACTCCATTCCCGGGCCACATTTTGAATGCCCGGAGCCAACTGTAGGCCACTTCGTGCTCTTCGAGTTCCCAGAACTCCATTCCCGGGCCACATTTTGAATGCCCGGAGCCAACTGTAGGCCACTTCGTGCTCTTCGAGTTCCCAGAACTCCATTCCCGGGCCACATTTTGAATGCCCGTAGCCAACTGTAGGCAACTTCGTGCTCTTCGACTTCCCAGAACTCCCATTCCTGGGCCACATTTTCAGCAGGGGCAAGAGCACGACGAGGAGGAGGACGAGCAAGACCAGGAGGACGAGGACGAGCAGGAGCAGGACGAGGAGCAGGAGGAGCAGGAGAAGAAGGACGAGCAGGAGGAGGAGGAGGACGAGCAAGAGGAGGAGGACGACCAGGAGGAGGAGGACGACCAGGAGAGGAGGAGGAGGAGGAGGAGGGGAGGGGGAGGAGTACCAGGAGGAGGAGGAGGAGGAGGAGGAGGAGGAGGAGGAGGAGGAGGAAGAGGAGGAGGAGGAGGAGGAGGACGAGGACGAGGAGGAGGAGGAGGAGGGGGGGGGAGAGTACCAGGAGGAGGAGAACGAGGACCACCAGGAGGAGGAGGAGGAGGAGGAGGAGGAGGAGGAGGAGGAGAGAACACCAGGAGGAGGAGGACGAGCAAGACGAGGAGGACGAGAACGAGGACGACCAGGAAGAGGAGGAGGAGGAGGAGGAGGGGAGGGGGAGGACTACCAGGAGGAGGAGGAGGAGGAGGAGGAGGAGGAGGAGGAGGAGGAGGAGGAGGAGGAGGAGGAGGAGGAGGACGAGGAGGAGGAGGGGGGGGGAGAGCACCAGGAGGAGGAGAACGAGGACCACCAGGAGGAGGAGGAGGAGGAGGAGGAGGAGGGAGGAGGAGGAGAGAGCACCAGGAGGAGGAGGACGAGCAAGACGAGGAGGACGAGAACGAGGACGAGCAGGAGGAAGAGGAGGAGGAGGAGGAGGAGGAGGAGGAGGAGCAGGAGAAAGAGGAGGAGGAGGAGGAGGCAGGCTGAGGCTGAGGCTGTGACTGCGACTGCCGTTGCCGCTGCGACTGTCATCGCGAATGCGACTACGACTGCGAGAACAGCAGAATTCGACAACTGGATTTTCATCTGAATCTTAAGGGGAATGCTTTCAGATATGCTTCTACACATCGCTGTTAGGTTGCTTTGCCGGGATAATTTTACCCATTCGGCCTTGCCACGTGGCGTTACCATGTGGCGAGTAGAGAGGGGGAGCATGTGTTGCCGCCCCGCTGCGTTGCCACGTGCCGCGTAGAACGGAGTAGTTCACCTTCGCCCCAAAGGCGTTGCCACGTGGCGAAGAAAGTGGAGTAGTATGCGTTCCCCCTTCCGTGCGTTGCCACGTGGTAGGGAGAGTGGGGCAGTATGTGTTTCGCTCCCCCAGTGTTGTCACGTGGCGAATCGAGTGAAACATATGTGTCCGTCCGGGTCTCCTGTCGGGGGCCCCTTGGAGCCGTCTTGGGGGCCTCTTGGGCCGTTTTGGGCGCCTCTTGGGCCGTTTTGTCGCCCTCTTGGGCTGCTTTTGGGCCTTCTTGGAGGCCCCTTGGGCCGTCTTGGGGCGATCTTGGGGGCCTTTTGGGCCGTCTGGGAGCTTCGGGAAGCCGAAAAGGCAAAGTTGCCACGATCCTTCAAAAACCATATGAAAATCAATCACTTTTGCCCCTTGGGGTCCTCCTGGGAGGCTTCTTGAAGGCCTCTTCGGGCGTATTGAGGGCACCTTGGGGCATCTTGATGCCATCTTGGGCGTCTTGGAGCGATCTTTCGGAGACTTGGGGCTTTCTTCGACCTTTTGGGGAGCCTCTTGGGGCCCCCTTGGCCCCTCTGGAGGCTTTGTTGGGGCAGGAAATATCACGCGAGAAGCTTCGAAAGCGTGGCGATCGACACAGGCCTTCCCGGTACTGGTCTCCCGGCCGAGGAGAGACATCGGACCCCATAGCAGCGCCCTTCCGCGCGCGCGGTCGATGGGCTCGGTCGGGGTACCCTCGCGGGCGGCACGGGCAGATGGGGTTGCAATGGGTGCGATTGGGCGGGATTGGCGTGGCGCCGTGATGCGAGCAGAGTGGCAGAGTGCATTCGTCCTGCCTTCTTGCTCTCTCGCATGTTCGCGCCCCTCTCCTCGTCGTCAGCGTCTCCTCCCGCATGCGCGCGGGCGCGCCAGAAAGCCGGCTTCACCGTGGCGCCCAGTGCCGAGACGCCGACGCTGGCGGCCCGTCCGCCGGCCCCAGTGCGACAGGCCGTGGAGGGGGTTTCAGCCGGGTCGAGGGCGAGCTCCCCGAACATGCTCGATGGTCGTTGAAGCTGGCGGCGCGCACAGGGGGGTGGTGCGAGGGTGGACGGCCTTCTGAAAAGGCGCGGGGCCCTCTCAGAAGGGCCCGACGGCTAATGAGAGACCTCCTTGGGAGCACCCAGGGCGCTTCTAAGGTGGCCGTCCGCCTTCCAAGAAGCCCCCAGTGCGCCTTAGCAGCTACCCTCTTGTGGGCGCCGCCGAGTAAATTGACACCTCGCGTATCCCCACCAGCCCATCCACAAACGATGCCCAGCCGAGTTGCCTTAATCAGGGAAGCGAAGGAGCATGCAGTGAATCAAAGGCTAGGGCAGCCGTCAAACTGAAGTCTTGGATCAGCCTGCGCAGACCCAGGAGCGAACCGTATGCGCCTTCGCGGACCTTCCGAATGAGGAAAACAGGGGAAGGAGGAGGGGGAGGAGGAGGAGGAGGAGGAGGAGGAGGAGGAGGAGGAGGAGGAGGAGGAGGAGGAGGAGAGGCGGAGGAGGAGGTGGAGGAGGAGGAGGAGGAGGGAGGAGAGGAGGAGGAGGAGGAGGAGGAGGAGGAGGGAGGCAGGAGGAGGAGGAGGGAGGAGCGGAGGAGGAGGAGGAGGAGGAGGAGGAGGAGGAGGAGGAGGAGGAGGAGGAGGAGGAGGAGGAGGAGGAGGAGGAGGAGGGGAGGAGGAGGGAGGAGGAGGAGGAGGAGGAGGAGGAGGAGGAGGGGAGGAGGAGGGGGAGGAGGAGGGAGGGGGAGAGAGAGGAAGGGAGGGAGGGAGGGAGGGAAGGAGGGAGGGAGGGGGGGAAGTGGGGGAGGAGGGAGGGAGTCAGGGAGGGAGGGAGGGAGGGGAGGGAGGGAGGGAGGGAGGGAGGGATGATGATGATGATGATGATGATGATGATGATGATGATGATGATGATGATGATGATGGTGATGATGATGATGATGATGATGATGATGATGATGATGATGATGAGGAGGAGGAGGAGGAGGAGGAGGAGGAGGAGGAGGATGATATGAATACCAATAATAGCAATACTGATAATATTCTACTCCTAATAGTAATGTCATATTATTAGGAAGACAAATAAGTATACCAATATCAGTCATACTACTACTACTACTACTACTACTACTACTACTTCTACTACTACTACTGCTACTGCTACTAGTACTACTACTACTACTACTACTACTACTACTACTACTACTACTACTACTACTACTACTACTACTACTACTACTACTACTACTACTACTACTACTACTACTACTACTACTACTACTACTACTACTACTACTACTACTACTACTACTACTACTACTACTACTACTACTACTACTACGACTACTACTACTACTACTACTACTACTACTACTACTACTGCTACTACTACTACTACTACTACTACGACTACTACGACTACTACTACTACTACTACTACTACTACTACTACTACTACTACTACTCCTGCTGCTGCTGCTGCTGCTGCTGCTGCTACACTACTACCAATAATAGTAATACTATTCATATCATCAACAATAATAATAGTAATGCTATCAATGCTAATAATAATAATCATATTACTAATGTTAACAAGAATGCTAATCATAACAAAAATCGTATGAATCATAATCATAAAACTAATAATGCTACGAATAATAATGATACTATTCATGATAGTATGAATGAAACTACTATCAATATTTAGCATCACTGTAATAATATTAAGAAGATGATGAGGGATGATGATGGGGAGGAGGAGGAGGAGGAGGAGGAGGGAGGAGGAGGAGGTATCTGTATCGGTATCGGTAAGAGTCGACTCGCTGCCGATGACGCATAGACCCCAACCAGGTCATCGTGAAGATTGGTGGGCGAACGGGTTCCAGCCTGTATTGGGGACCCGGTCAAACAGGGAGCCGGTCTGAGGATCGAGGCCGAGGGCAGCGCGCTGTCGCTGCCACTTCCTCTCCCTGGCAGTCTTCCGCTTCCTGTGAATGAGGGCCTGATGCTCAGGGGGGAGCTCCGACACAAGGGGGTGGGCAGGGAGAGGAGGGGAGAGGATGAGGCCAGGGGCCCCCGGTGCGGCCTCGGCCGCCATGCTTGCGGCAGTGACGTACCGCTCCTCGTCGCGGAACGGGACCACCTCCTCGCTGACGCAGTGGCGTCGGCACGGTGTTGGGCTCAAACTTGACCTGTCAAGTTTGAGCTTGTAGGGCTCAACATTCTTGTCGAATCGAGGATCATGTCTACATACGGGTCCAGGGCCTGGAAGAACGAGCTGAGTTCATCGGGCAGGTCCAACGTATTCTGATCAATACCTGTGGCACTCCATGCTCGGTCCAAGTAGTCATGAGCAGCACTAGCCATGGCGTCGCACATGGCTTGAGGGTATCGCTTTTTTGGGGCAGTTTTCCATGTGCCGTTTTAGAGCTGAGCACATTTTCCTTCACATCCGGTTTTACGAATCATGTCCCGGAGCTCGGGCAGCCTAACGGCCAGAAGGGTTGTGGGAGCTTTGCTGATTTGGCCGAACATGCACTGGTCGAAACTGATCATCGTGGTGGCGGGCGAAGCGGCGGTAGCCTTCGCAGTGTCGAGCTCCCAAGAGCTGGGGGCCCTGGTTTCCCACCACGCCTTCTCTGGATGTTCCAGGACCCCACAAGCCCCAACCTGAAGACAAACCATGAGGAGGTGGTGGGCACTTATAAGTATCTGGTTGCCCACAACAAGCTGCCAGTGCTGCTTGATAGAGACGTCCGGTCTCCCCCAAATGTGTCGATACGTTCTCAGAGGAGGAGGAGGGCCAGCAACAGCAGAATCCGTAAGCCGATTCCATCTGACGGCTGACAAGGACTTACACGGCGGGCCTCCAGCTATGCCGAGGGCACGTCCCGATCTGAGATAGTCACACCATTTGTCAACGATCGAGGACTTCGTGAGGCCGCCAAGGTTGGGGTCTAAGGAAATGGCCAAGGAAATCACAACCACCGTCCAGGGGCCCGAAAGGAACACACGTTCGAGCTTGAAGGTCCCCAGGTCGCCGAGCTCCAGAAAAAAGGTGCACAAACGCGAGAACAGAATATTGAACTTCCCTTGGAAGCTCATCTGCAGGGCCCCCCTCGTACTCCTCAGGTCTGAAGGGCCACTCGTCGTCGTTGGGGTCCCGGGCGCCGTCAACATCAATGGTTCTGGGCTTGTCTGGGTCGGCGTGGTATTCGGATTCCTTGATAAAAGGGCCCAAGTTTCAGCATGCAACATGTTAGTGATGATAGTGCGATCAATAGGTCCAGGAACTCTGTAAGCTGGAACAACCGCCTCGCGACGCATAGCACCTTTGACCGAGCCACCGTCCTTGCAGCAGCTTCGTCCGGGGTACACTGCTCTTGCTGGGTTGTATCCACGGGGACAAGATGCAAGAGCGCCGACAACATGCAGCGGGGGTTGCCAGATGCCATGTGGTCCACCGCGAGCTCCTGGGTCCCGTGGCATGTCAAACATATTGGACAGACTCGAGACGCCAAGTACCTAGCTGCAAGACGGCGATGTTGGATGTGCTGCGACGAAACGTTGGCCTGAAGCGCAGCTGGTTTCGGTGTGTGATAGTGGCAGTAGGGGCACAGGTAGCGCTTAGGGGGTAAGGTAGGTACGTTGAGTCGATGACAAGAGACTCCTTCCTCCTTCGCCTCCTCCAAGATATCCTTGATACGATGCTGTGCAACATAATTCCTTGCCTGCCAGCAAACGTGGGCAGCAACGGCTTTCGCAGCTTGATTTGCCCATGCCTTGCTGGGCTTGCACATTTCCGCTTCCCACTTGATACTCCGAAACTCTGTCACGTATCCAGCGCAGGTCTTCGATAATAAGTGAGCGCCACGATCTCTTCATGCTGGCAGTGAGGCCAATTACTGCGAACAGGTGCGGGGGTTCGTACCTGTAGAGCCTCGGGAGGTACCGAAGTCTATGCCAGCGAAGCAGTGTAGTCAAGTCTGGGCGGTTCGCCATGGCCCAAGTGGCCTAGTCGTTCTGGGCATTGGGGTCCTATGCCGGTAGCCCCAGCGCCGATCAATAAAGCTTCAACATTTGGGTAGCATATCTGTGACATTGTGCCGCTGTTAGCGCATGCCAGACGCTAGCGTTGTAGAGCCTGCCAGACATGATCAACACATCCGCCAGCACTAACTTGTCCGAGGTGGGGAGGGGCTGGTTCTGTCAAGCGACCAGTCTGAGAGTTCGCTGGGACCCTGCCGTGGAAGTAATCCTATTGGCCAGCTCGGGCCCGAGATCCATCTTGTCGGAGACAATGCACCCGAGATGTTTGTAAGTGTGGGCCGCCCCAATGTTCACACCATCCGAACAGGTCGTCGAAGCAGGAACCGATATTTGCCCAGAATACTCCAGCCAAAACTGTTTGCAGGCCGCCACGGACCCCTGCCCCCGAAACATAAGCATAGTCATAGTAGCTGTTTTATTCGGTCCCATATTTAGTCTTAAACCAGCTGGCGTGAACGCGTTGACGACAATGGCCGAGACGGCCTGCAGCTGCTGAACGAGTAGCGCGGCAGTGGCAAGCACGAAACGCATGCAGTCACCTACATAGTTGGCGCCGTCGGCCGAGACCGGAGTGTCATCCGGAACCCCGTCGTCAAGGGTCTTGCGCGTGGGGGCCGGGAACTCACAGAGGGAGGTGGGCCTGCTCGAGAGCCTGGTGAGCCTGGTGGAGGCACCTGGAGAAAATGAACAAAAACACTTTGGAGGCTAAAGTATTTCCCGGACGGGACCCCGTGGTAATGACCGCGATTTTGCCCGACCCCGGGGTGGTGGCCCAAGTGTTCGTGACGGTTTCGGCCAGGAGGGCAGACAGATGCTCTGGGACCTCCAAGTCCTCGAGGATGGTTTTGGACCCCAGGGTCCCCGCAAGATGGTGCATGGCCTCAGGAGGGGGCCCAGACGCCTGCGCGACTTGAGCCAATCTTTCATCAGAAACCTCGCCTGCAGAGTTTAAGCGCACCGCGAGCTCCTGGATGACCTGGTGGAACGCTGCCTCCAGGTCAATAAATAATAACCCGAGGCTAGTAGAGCGCGCCTATAGGGGGTTTCCCCCCTCCCCTCCCGCACGGCCGTGTTCTGTCGGCTTCTGGTCTGCCGTGCTGGTCTGCTGTGCTGGTCTGCCGTGCTGGTGTCTGTCGTCTGCTATGCTCCTGTGGTCGGCCGTGCTGGTAACCCTGGCGCCGAATTGGCAAAATCGGTGTTGGTCTGCCCTGCTGGTCTGCTGTGCTGGTCTGCCGTGCTGCGGTCTGCTATGTTCCTGTTGTCCGCCGTGCTTGTCTGCCGTGCTGGTCTGCCGTCCTGGACTGCCGCACTGGTCTGCTGTGCTGGTCTGCCGTGCTGCGGTCTGCTATGTTCCTGTGGTCCGCCGTGCTTGTCTGCCGTGCTGGTCTGCCATCCTGGTCTGCCATGCTGGTCTGCCGTGCTGGTCTGCCGTGTTGGTTTACCGTGTTTCTGTGGTCTGCTATGCTCTTGTGGTCTTCTGTGCTGGTCCGCTGTGCTGGTCCGCCGGGCTGGTCTGCTGTGCTTGTCTGCCGTGCTGGTCAGCTGTGCTGCTGTGCTGGTCTGTCGTGCTGGTCTGTCGTGCTGGTCTGCCGTCCTGGTTTACCATGTTTCTGTGGTCTGCTATGCTCTTGTGGTCTGCTGTGCTGGTCCGCCGTGCTGGTCCGCCGTACTGGTCTGCTGTGCTGGTCAGCCGTGCTGGTCAGCCGTGCTGCTGTGCTGGTCTGCCGTGCTGGTCTGTTATGCTCCTGTCTGCCGTGCTGGTCTGCCGTACTGGTCAGCCGTGCTGGTTTGCCGTGCTGGTCTGCTGTGCTGCTGTCCTCTACTTTGCTCCTGTGGTCTGCCATGCTGGTCCGCCGTGCTGGTCTGCCATGCTTGCATGCCGAGATGGTTTACCGTGTTGCTGTGGTCTGCTCTATTCGTGTGGTCAGCCGTGCTGCTCTGCCGTTCTGGTCATTTGCCGTGCTGGTCTGCCGTGCTGCTGTGGTCTGCCATGCTCCTGTAGTTTGCCGTGCTGGTCTGCCGTGCTGTTCTTCCGTGCTGGTCTGCCCTGCTGCTGTGAAAGTGAACGTGAAAGTCGGGGCCTTAAAGGCTAACATGAGGAGCCCTCCAATACGCACAAAAAACGGGGCGGCCCCCAAAGGGCCAGGGCAGGCGGAGGCGGGCCAGCCTAGGGCCCCCCCAGACGCCAAGCCCCCCCCCCCACGCACGGCAGAGAGGCGCGGGCGGGGCCCCCCAGGAACGAGCCCTCAAACTAGGGCTCGACGTTTTGGGGCCCGCTGTCTCCGCGCGCGGCCGCCGCCCTCGGCTCGCGAGCCAGGCGACCGCGGTCTCGCGCCTCCGCCAGGGTCGCGACCAAAGCGCACAGCAGCGGGCGGAGGACACTCACGCCCGCTGGCCTTGGATTCGCACTTGTCCCTCCGCCTCTGGGCCTCCTTCACGAACTGGACAATGAGGGCCCTGGCGGTCGCCTCGGTCCAGGGCGACCAAGCCACGCCCCGGGCTTCCAGCCGCTCGAAGACGTCGAGGACGGTGGTCTGGGAGAGGTCCCTGCCCGCGAGGATGTCGACGACGTGCCCCTTGAGCTCGGCCTCCGACCGCGGCTCCTTGGGCTTCGTGCACTTCGTGGGCCTTCCGCATGATGGGTTTGTCGATGCCATGCTGCACCACCTCCCCGATCTCAGTCAGCATCGCCCATGCGACCCCGCGCTCCTGCTGCTTACCCTTGCCGCCACCCTTGTAGCTCGGCTCCTTGAGCTCCTTGCACTTCTTGGGCGGCTCGCTCTCCACCTTACTCATGATGGGGTTGCCGATGCCTTCCTGCACTGCTTCCCCGATCTCCGCTTCCACCTGCATCTTGACGGGGTTGTCGATGCCTTCCTGCACCTCCTCCCCGCTCTCAGCCTTGGTCGCCATTGCGAGCTGGGCCTGGAGCTGCGCCACCTCGCCCGCGAGAAACGCCAGCACCTTCACCAGTTTTATATACTTTCCGTCGGACTCCTGCGCCACTTTCTCGTCCAGCACCTGTTTCATGAGCTCGGAGAGCGGCATGTCCTCCATCTCCGAGGCCGATCCGCTCTCCGTGGACTCCTCGGTGGCGCCACCCTTCACGTCGGACTTCTCCACCATGTCCTGCACGTGCTGGCGCGCCCCCCTCTGCGAGCGCTGCGGGTCCAGGAAGGCCTCCTCGAGCAGCTCGATCGGGAGACCAGCCTCGCTGAGGCGCCAGTGAGCGCCGACGTTGCGGCGCGAGCGCGCCTGCCCGTCGGGCCACTGCCCCCGGATGCGTTGCAGCATCGCCGGAGCCATCGCGGCGAGGCGCACCGCGAGCTCCTCGACGCCGTCGCCTCCGGATTGCGCGGGCTGCGCCGAAGCCACGACGAAACCTGCAGGTCGCAGCGACCGCCGCTGCCACCACCTGGCGGCTGCCTCCGCCCTCGGCGGCGCCCTTGGCCGCCGCCTCGACGAGAGCAGCCTCCATGCCACACCACCGCCGCGGGGCCCGCGGGAGACCGTGCCACAAACCGGCTTGAGCCAAAATGGCTACGGAGCCCTGCTGCTGTGGTCTGCTATGCTGTTGTGGTCTGCTGTGCTGGTCTGCCGTGCTGGCCTTCCGTGCTGGTCTGCCGCGCCGCTGTTGTCTGCCTTGCTTTTGTGGTCTGCCGGCTGGTTTCAGCCTTGGTTCAGCCCGTCACGCCCGGTTCAAACGACCACGCCGCTACGATTCGAACGGCCATGTCTCGCGCCCCGCCCCGTTCCGCTCGCCCAGCACACACCCTGCACACACTCGCGCACATATGCACACAGCTGCACATAGCCACACACAGGCACACGCACGCAGGCACACCCACATACACGCACACGCTTACACACGCACAGGCAACATAATTACGTTCACGCAGACCTCAGGAGCACAGTAGTCAGGCACGGCATACAAGAGCCGTGTTGCAGACCACCTCGCTCTGACGCACATGCACATAGTCCACGCACGTACGCGCACGCGCAAACGCACGCACGCCACGACAAACCTGCGCGGCAGACCAGCACAACAGAGCATATTTCATACACCTGGTGGACAAAAGCGAGGCTTTCCCGTTCTTGTCTGGTCAGGTTTCTGAAAAATGGCCGTTTCGCTCGAGACATATTCAACCAATGGGCCCTGGAGGGGATTTCAAAACGATATCGTCTTGAAATAGCTCCCAGAAGGCTTTCAAACGGCCCAAAGGAGGTCCAAAAGACGCCCTGGAGGGCCCCCAGAGCGCCCAAGAGCGCCCCAAGAGGGCCCCAAGAGGCCCCCAAGAGCGCTCCAGGAGGCACCCAGACAGCTCAGGAGAGCCCCCAGACGGTCCAAGACGGGACAAGAGGGCCCCAAGACACTCCTGGTAGCGCCCAGGAAGCCCCCAAACGGCCCAAGATGGCGTCGAGACGGCCCCATATGGCGGCGAGACGGCCCAAGAAAGCTTCCAAAGAACCCCACGACGCGCTCAGACAGCCCAAGAAGACCCCAGAAGCCCACAAGAGGACCCAAGAGGTCCCCAAGAAGCCCCCAACAGGCCCCAAAACAACCCCGCGCGGCGCCAGGAGCCCCCAGGGTATCCCGATAGGGTCACCAGGACCTTCTCCTGATTCAACGTCCTTCTCCAATTGCCTCTCACTGTCCTCCGTCGTCGTCGTCGTCGTCGTCGTCGTCGTCGTCGTCGTCGTCGTCGTCGTCGTCGTCATCGTCCTCCGCATTCCTCCTCGTGGTTGCCCTCGGTCTCTTCGCCCTTGTCCTTGTGCTTCTCTTCCTCCTCGTTGTCCTCATGCTCCTCCTCGATATCCTCACGGTCTCCACGTCGTCCTCGTCATCGCCTCCTCGTCGCCCTCGCCTTCCTTTTTTTCTTCTTCTTCGCCCAATGAGCCCATTGGCCTAAAGCGGCGCTTCCCGCTCTTGTCCGATCAGATTGTTTTGTCGGTTCAGGTGTTGTTCAGGTGTCTGAAACGTTCGAATTTGCAATTGGCTGAAGTCGAATGTATTCATCGGCTCGAGTGAGCACATATACATAATAATAGATGAACCGCTCCGCAATTCTAACATTTGAAAGCTGCGAGGGGAATGCCTTTGCAGTGGTCGCTATCGAGAAGCGGGCATCGCCTGCACAGACTAAAATCCAGGGAGCTAGCATAGTGACCTCTTGCCCGACTTGATCGTACGTCCGAGCGCGGGCCAGCCGCGGGCAGAGTGCCCGACCAGGGGCCTTGAGTGCGGCCCGAGGCCCCGGCACCGCCGGCGAGGCTTGCCAGCGTGGCGGTCCCGCAGGCGGCAGGGGGCGGGCTGTGCGACTGACGCGCGAGTGCAGGCAGTGGGCGCGCCGTGAGGACGGGGAGGGGAGGAGAAGACGACCAGGGTAGGGGAGGCGGGATGAGGATGAGGATGATGGTGATGATGGTGATGAAGATGATGATGATGATGCTGATGCTGATGCTGATGCTGATGCTGATGATGATGATGACAACAGTGATGATGATGCTGATGATAATGCTGATGACGATGATGACGACGATGATGATGATGATGATGATGATGATGATGATGATGATGATGATGATAATGATGCTGATGATGATGATGAGGATGAGAAGATGATGAAGAACATGGTGATGATGATGATGACGATGCTAATGACGATGACGATCATGATGCTGATGATGATGCTGATGCTGCTGATGATGGTGATAAGGATGCTGATGCCAATGATGAGGAGGAGGAGAATCTGATGATGAAGATGGTGATGATGATGATGACGATGCTGCTGATGATGATGACGATCATGGTGCTGATGCTGATGCTGATGCTGATGATGATGATGATGATTATGATGCTGCTGATGATGATGCTGATGACGATGGTGATGCTGATGATGTTGATGATGACGACACTGATCCTGCTGATGATGCTGATGATGACGATGACGATGACGATGATGATGATGATGATGATGATGATGATGATGATGATGATGATGATGATGATAATGATGATGATGATAATGATGCTGATGACGATGATGAGGAGGAGGAGAAAATGATGATAGTGACGAAGATGGTGATGATGATGACGATGCTGAGGCTCATGATGCTGTTGCTGATGATGACGACGATCATGATGTTGCTGATGATGATGATGCTGATGCTGATGATGATGATGATGCTGATGCTGATGATGACACTGATGCGGATTCCGATGGTGATGAGGAGAAAGTGATGATGAAGATGGTGACGATGTTGATGATGATGACGATGATGATGATGACGGTCATGCTGCTGATGATGATAATGATACTGATGATGTTGATGATGATGATCAAGATCATGATGTTGCTGGTGATGACGATGATGATGATGATGCTGATGATGATGATGATGATGATGATGACTATGATGATAATGATGCCGATGACGATGATGATGAGGAGGAGGAGATGATGATGAAGATGGGGACGATGGTGATGATGCTGATGATGACGATGATGACGATCATGATACTGATGATGATGCTGCTGCTGATGACGATGATGATGCTGTTGATGCTATGATGATGATAAAGATGCTGATGACGATGATTAGGAGGATGAGGAGAGGAGGATGATGATGATGAAGATGGTGATGATCATTATGATGATGACCGTGCTGATGATGTTGATGATGATGATCATGCTTCTGATGATGATGATGATGGATGGTGATCATCATGATGATGCTGCTGATGATGATGGCGACAATGATGATGCTTATGCTAATAATGCTGATGACGATGATGATGATAATGATACTGATGACGATGATGAGGAGGAGGAGGAGGAGAAGACGACGATGATGATGAAGATGGTGATGATGATGACGATGCTGCTGATGATGATGACGTTGCTGATGATGCTGCTGCTGATGGTGCTGATGACGATTAGGATGATGATGCTGATGCTGATGATGATGGTGATGATGATGATGATCATAATGATGCTGATGACGATGATGATGATGATGATGATGATGATCAGGAGGAGGAGACGATGATGATGAAGATGATGAAGATGATGAAGATGATGAAGATGATGATGATGATGATGATGATGATGAAGAAGATGGTGCTGCTGCTGATGATGATGATGATGATGATGATGATGATGTTGATGATGATGATGACGATTCTGCTGATGATGAAGATGACGATCATGATTCTGATGATGCTGCTGCTGATGATTAATATTTTGATGCTGCTGATGATGATGGCTGCTGCTGCTGATGATGATGCTGGTGCTGATGCTGATGCTGATGATGATGATGATGATGATGATGATGATGATGATGATGATGATGATGACGACGACGATTCTGATGACGATCAGGAGGAGGCGGAGGGAGGAGGAGGAGGGAGGAGTATCCAGGAGGCGAGATGAGGATTGATGAGGGTATGATGATGTGGAGGGAGGGGAAATGGGATGAGGGAGGGAGGGAGGGAGGAGGGGGAGTATGAGGAGGATGAATAGGAGGAGCGAGGACAGAGGATAATGAGGAGGCGTGGTTGGGAGGAGTGTACATCGGGCACTGGCAGGATTTGAGCCTCGGATGTCGATGTATCTTATTTGCACTGGTACGGCACGTCTCTCTAGCTCCTCGCGCGTCGGGGAAGCTGGAAGGGGCACATAAGGCAGGGGAAGTGAGGCGGGGGACGAAGGGGGGTTGGGAGGTAGGTAGGGATATGGAGAGAGATGGTGATGAGGAGTCGCAGCTTCTCAGCGTAGCTCTCCAGAACTTGGAGCCGGTCGCTGAGGCATCTGCGCTATATGTGTCTCACTGAGATCAGCCGAACACAGTCTAGCGGAGGCATGTTCTAGTCAGAACCAGACTGACGCACTGTCTTCGAGCAGCAGCGCCGAGCATTCGTTTTGCCCTTCGACGAGAAGTGAGCACATCCAGGATTCTGCTGTGTATGGCACCGCTTGACCTGGCTTGGAGGGGGGCCCTCCCTGTCGTCACGGCTGGGTCTGGTTCTGAGGCCAGGTTGGACTGACCAGGCTTTGTTTGGAGCCGAAATCGGTTTCCAGTTTCGGCTTTCCAGAATTTCAGTATTCTGTAACAATGCGGGCATCTTATTAGGAAGCAAATGCAGCTGGCACGAGGGTTCAGAACAGCCCCAGTTTTGGATGGGTACCCTTACATTCTTCGTGTGTGGACTCTTTTTTGAAGTGCTTTCGCTGTGGGTGTCTGAATGGAGCCCTTGGCCGTCGGTGAAGGTGCCTCTATCCTTGGTGCCGAATGCCAAAGAGCCACCCGTGCGTCGGCGCGGCCGATTTGGGGCGCTCCGGAGGCCGAGATCCCGCTCAAGATCCGCCAGGCGCCCAGAAGTTTTGTCCGCACTTGCCTGGCAGGAGCCGTTTCGATTTAGCAGGGCTAAGCTCGGGCCAGATTTGGATGCCTCCTGCCGATCTCTTCTGATGCGATTTCCTGATCCGATTGGGGGGGATCCTGCCCAGGTCCTTCTTGCACCGCTGTTCTCGCGGCTGTTTCTCGCGGTGCAGGTGCGAGGGCTCTACGGGGCGCCTTGGTGAGAAGGTGCAGATGGCCTGTAGCCCCTCGTGTGCTGCTGTCGATCACCGTCGGGTGGATCCAGCTGGTCAACGCTGCTTGAGCTGGTCCAGCACGCGCCGTCCGGCGGAGGCTCCCGCCTGAATTGACCTGCACCGCGCCGTCGTGCACGTGGCTGCGACGCCAAAAAGTTTGTGTCCGTGTGTGCGTTCGTGTTTGATTTTCAGGGAGTGTGCGACGACAAGGGGGCGGGGAGGCCGCTGCGGCGCCGAGTGCAGCGGCCATGCCAGGACCTCTGGGGACCCGAAAAGAGGGGCTTTTGTCTTTGAAGACGTGGATGGGGCACGGGATGAAAGGAAGTGGAAGGTGGGTGGGGACAAATAAGAAGATAAGGATGATGCTGTTGATGATGCTGATGATGTTGATGATCTTGATGATGCTGGTTATGCTGACGATGCTGCTGATGATGGTGATGATGCTGCTGCTGATGACGATGACGATGACGATGACGATAATGACGATGATGATGCTGATGATGATGATGATTTTGTTGTTGTTGGTGGTGTTGTTGTTGATGCTGGTGTTTTTGTCGCTGTTTTTGTGATTGTTGTTGCTGCTGCTGCTGTCGTTGTGGATGTGGATGTGGTTGTGGTTGTGGTTGTGGTTGTGGTTGTGGTTGTGGTTGTGGTTGTGGTAGTAGTAGTAGTAGTAGTAGTAGTAGTAGTAGTAGTAGTAGTAGTAGTAGTAGTAGTAGTGCATCTATGGTTGAATACTAATTGTTGTTTATCTCCCCCCTCTGGTAACATATGTGTTTTTCAATTGAAGTGCCTCTCCTGGGGCTCGCACCTTGTTCTTCATCAGGGAAGATCTTCCTGTTCAATCTGTGCCCCTGGTCCCTGGTTTACAACAAAACGGCTCCCACCTGACATTTCTTTGCTTTTTACGGAGGAATCGCGCTCTCGCTAGGGACTTCTTTGCAATTTGTCCAAGGATCGCGCTCTCGCGTGTCATTTTCTTGTAATTTATTCAGGCGCCACGCCATCGCCATTCAGGAATCGCGCTCTCGCTCGGGACTTCCTCATCATTTACTTAGGGATCGCGCTATCGCCCGAGACTTCCTGGATAATTGTAAGGACTCACGCGTTTGCGTTTTTTCAATTGAAGTGCCCCTCCCGGGGTTCGCGTTTTTTTGTACTGGGGAAAGTCTTCCTGCTCAATCTGTGCCCCTGGGCCCCGGTTTACAACAAAATGGCGTCCGTTTGATATTTTCTTCGACTTTATTGAAAATCGCGCTCTTGCTAGGGACTTCCTTGCAATTTATCGAAGAATCGCGCTCTCGTTTGGTACTTCCTCGCAATTCATCCGGGCGTCGCGCTCTCGACACTCAGGAATCGCGCTGCCGCTTGGAACCTCCTCGTAATTGATTCAGGCGCCGCGTCCTCGACACTCAGGACTCACGCTCTCGTTCTGGATTCCATTACGAGGCTTATTTTGAAATCGCGCTGTCGCTCAAGGCTTCCTCGCGGTTCACGCAGGACGCACGCTTCAGCAGCCTGCCTGCTCGACCTGGCCGCCTCGGCCCGCCAGTTATGGTCTACCCGCCCGATCTGCCCGTCTGGTTCTGCCACGTGTTTTCTGCTCCCAGCCCCCCTCCTGCTACTCTCTTTCTCTTGCTCCGTCCTCCTCTTTTCCCTGTGTCCCTTCCTTCCATCCGTCCTCCTTTCCCCTGTCTAA